CCTTGGAGTCCAGCCCACTGCTCAAGCAGGAGACACGACTAGTTAATTGTCCTCACTCACTGTCAGGAAGTTTCTCCTTAATTCCAGGTTGTTTCTCTCCTTGATTTGTTTCCATCCATTGTTTCTTGTCCTGACTTCAGATGCTTTGGAGAATAAGTTGACCCCCTCCTCTTCTTTGTGGCAGCCCATCAAATACTGGAAGACTGCTGTCATGTTCCCCCCCCCCGCCCCAGTCCTTCTTTTCTCTAGACTGGCCATACCCAAATCCTGCAACTGTTCTTCATCTTTTAGTCTCCAGGCCTTTAATCAACTTAGTTGCTCTTCTCTGCACTTTTTCCAAAGTCTCAAAACCCTTTTTTATAATGTGATCAAAAGTAAATGCCCTATTCCAGGTGTGGCCTTACTAAGGCTTTAGAAAGCGGTACTAATCCTTCGTGTGATACGGATTCTATGCCTCCGTTTATACAACCATGATTCGTACTGTATTAGTTTTTTGGGCTGCTACGAGACGCAATCTCATACAATCTCTGAACTCTGTTCCCATCATAAACGCCATCATAAACCCTACGGTTTATGGGACGGAGGACGGAGAGATCTAGCAGAAAAGCAGCAAAGGAGAGCAGTAGGTCCCACCTGCCAACAGAGATTCCTGACTCCTCCAACCAGGTGAGGACCCCAGAAGCGCCGAGACCTCCGAGTTGGCATTTGCGGTGGCAGCGGAGTGGAGTCGGGCGAGGGCAGGGCTATTCCTGGGCATCTGGTGGAAAGCGGGTCAGTCTTGGACTGGGCTGCTCCCTGCTTTTACACGAGAGCAAGTGGTCCCTCCTTTCTGGGAAACGCTAAGGGGGTGGATAGGACACCCTCAGTGTTAGGAAACGCAGTTTCCAGCAGGACGAGGGATTTAGCAACAGACGTGACACAGATGCATCTGTGTTTTTGAGGGGGGAAAAATATTCCAGGAAATTTGGGGAGAGGGGTTGCTCCTTTTCGGGAAAGCTTCTGAATTCTGTCCAGACAGCCAAACAAGGGGAGAGCTGGAATGGGGAGGGGGAAGGAAGGAGGGGACACCTTCATCTAAAGCCCCCACGCCGTTGTGACTCTCAATCCCCCCTCCAAACTCCCCAGGAATTTTTCCAGCGAGATTCCAAGATCTTCCCAGAGGAATCAGACTTTGCTCTCTGTGCTGGGGGGGGGGGGAATGGGAGGGGCTTTGTGCCTGGAGAGAAACAACTTTGGTTCTGCTGGCTCCTCTGAAAACGTGCTGTGCTTGGCTGGGAGGAAGGAGGAAGTGGGCAGGCACGTCCCGTGTGTGACTTCCTTCTCAATCAGTCAACCAATCAGTCAGAATAGAGCTGGACAGGGCCTTGGAGGTCCAACCCTCTGCTCAACTCCAGGCAGAGTCTTCAGTTAATACAATGGGTGTGACCCTAATCCAGGAACTGGCTCCTCTCCCCTCCTTCAGCCATCCCAGAAATTGGAGTACCATCGGTGGGTGGGGTGAGACTTGAGGCCACACCTGCATCCCCTCACAGAGTCATAAGTCGGTCTCGGCCTCCCCCAGACGGTTCCTTTCTCTCTTGCAGGGCAACAAGCTTGCAGCAACCAGCAAATGCCAAGCATGGCTCAGACAGACGATGCCATAGAGATTGCAGCCCTCGGCCGCCCCTTCCAGCTGGGGATGCTGTACGACTGCCGCAAGGATGCCCTCGTCCCAGGTAGGAGCCAGAGGAGAGGCTGATGGGTGGGCATCCCTGGCAGGAAACCTGGGAGGGAGGGAGGGAGGGAGACAGGCACTGCCATCAATTGCAGGCTTAGCCCAAGCACACTTAAGAGCTGGCATTCTGAACACAGGGCCTGCTACTACCAGCTAGCTGAGTAGGGTCTTCTGCCTGGCATGTGTATGCAGCAGTGCTGGCCCTGACTACCAAACGTGGGGTGGGTTTCCATACCAAACTCACTGAAATGCTTTGGGAAAGGACAAAATCTCTCTATTCAGTCAAAGGCCTTTGGGGGGTTTTGCAGTATTTTGCAAAACAGACCATTTCCCTGGTGACTGGTGGACAGAACAAAGGATGTTAACCTCAGGGAGAAAGGATGTCCCCTTGTCCAACCTCTCTGGGGCTTCTCTATCCAGTTTCAGATTTATCTCCCTGTCTTCTCCTGTTCCGTGCAGGCGTCACCCTTTGGGACTACAGCTCCCTTCAGAAGGACCTGACCACCAGGCCTCAGCCCAATACAGAAACTAAAATCATTGCATCTGACAATATTGATGACAAGGCCTCTGCCCTGGACATCTCAGGATCCCTCAAGGGCAGCTTCCTGGGGGGGCTGGTTGATGTGAGAGGATCAGCCAAGTATCTTTACAACACCAAGAAGTCCAAGCAACAGGCTAGAGTCACCGTCCAGTACAAAACCACCACCAGGTACGAACAGCTGACCATGAGCCACCTGGGAATCCAGAATATCTCCCACCCAGCAGTCTTTGAGCATGGCACGGCCACCCACGTGGTCACCGCCATCCTCTACGGAGCCCAGGCTTTCTTCGTGTTTGACCGAGATGATTCCTCAACAGAAATGGTAAAAAATATAGAAGGAAATCTCCACGTCACAATCAGGAAGATGATATCCGTTACAGGACAAGGAGATATGAAGCTAAACGAGGAGGAGAAAGAGAGTGCACTGAAGTTCAGTTGCACGTTCCATGGAGACTTTTCTCTGGAGAAAAATCCAGTGACCTTCCAAGATGCCATGACAATTTATGAGACTCTGCCAAAAATGTTAGGGAAAGATGGGGAGAAGGCTGTTCCTGTGTGGGTCTCGCTCTACCCACTGACCAAGCTGGACACCAGAGCAGCTAAAATGGTCCGCGAGATCAGCCTAGCGTTGATCTTTGATGTTGAAAGCATCTTGGAGGAACTCGACGAAATCCAGATGCAAAGTAACGATCTAGCCAAGGATCCCATTTGTGACACCTTCCCTGAGATCAAGAGGAAGATCCAGCAGTTTAAGAATCTGTTAAAGCAACACAGGCAGACTTTCCAGAAAGACCTGGCCAGAGTGTTGCCTTCCATCCGGGGTGGAGGGCAGGAGGAAGGGACCCTGGTGGATATCTTGACCTCTGTCAAGCAGTCTCCCTTCAACAGCCAAAGACTCCATGAATTTCTGGACACCAAGAAAAGAGAAATTAACTTTGTCAAATCTTTTCTGACTATTTTAAATAAGATACAAATTATCTCATCTCAGAACAAGTTGGAAGAAATAGTTCTCGATCCTCAGAATGGATACGTGGTCTCCTTTGTATTCACTTCTTTGCAGGAAGAGGAGCCGTTTCTGTTGAGCTTACGGGACAAGCTTCAGGAGCGATTCTTGCAAGAATCAGCTAAGTCCACAAGATCCACTCCTGCGGTGAAGAAAGACAAGGCCTGGTTTGAGGACCAGGAGAGGACCCACAATGCTCGCCAAGCGGCCAAATCCATGAAAGACTTTTTCACTGTCAACCAATCGAATGAGAAGGTCCGCTTTCTCGTGGCCTCACTCCCAGATGTGGAGACCCCAGGAGCTTCCATTTACCTTTATGAAGATGGAAACCTGGTCAGCAAGAACTTTGAGTTGCCCTCAAAACCTGTCCCTTTGCAGATTACTGAACTGAGACACAACAGCATTCAACTGAAGTTTCAGCCAGCTGAATATGGGAGGGCTGCCATCTCCAGCTATCTGGTAGAGTACAAGATTTCAGGGAAAGAAAACTGGAAGACCGTGAGGACAGAAGACGCCAGGGATATGTTCCTGCTGAAAGATCTGCCTCCAAACACAGAGTACCAGTTCCAGTATGCTGCTTGTTGCAAGCCGGGTCTTAGTAAATCCAGTGACCTGAGCCCACCCATAAAGACCTTTCCCACCAGCCCGCCTGAGAAATTAAGAACGGTCACTGCAGCATCTTCTGTCATCTCTGTGGCCTGGAGGAATCCCAGCATCGTTGCCTCAGGAGTTGTGGTCAAGGAGTACAAAGTGGAGTACAGAATGGTAGAGGCTGGAGTTGGGAAGGACGAGTGGACTGGAAAAAGGACTGGGAGAAAAACAGAGTTTTACCCCATCGAAGGTCTGAAGCCCCAGACGGCATATAGAATACGGGTGTCAGCCGTGTGTGACAATAGAGCTCTGGGTGTCCCCGGTGAGGAGGTGGAAGTCTCCACATCACTGGAGGAAGAAGATGCAGGCAACGTCGCCCGCCAGTTCTTTCAGGGAAGCTCCCCGGTGGAGGACACACATCCGTTAGTGTTCGCTCTTCCTCTGAAGAAAGTCCTCTCAGATGCCTCCAGCTCCTGTCTCATATACCAGCTTGGAAAGGAGAACCCAAACGTGCCGAACAAAGTGATCCTGATGATGGGAGCAACATGGTCTGGGAAAACCACACTGATCAACGGGATGATCAATTATATCCTGGGTGTCCAGTGGGGAGATAATTTCAGATTCAAACTGATTCACGAAACCACCCCAAGAAGCGAAGCTGGAAGCAGGACATCTGAGGTCACTGTCTATGTGGTGCACCATCAGGAGGGTTTCCGGATTCCCTATTCCCTCACAATCATTGACACTCCAGGATTTGGAGGCAGAAGAGATGCAGAGCAAGACAAACTGGTTGAGAAGCAGCTCCAAGAATTTTTCTCCGCCCCAGGGGGCATTGACCACGTTGATGCCATTTGCTTGGTGGCCCAGGCCTTCCTTGCCCATTCAGTTCATGCCCAGAAATGCGTCTTTGATTCCATGCTCTCCTTGTTGGGAAAAGACGTGAAGGATAACGTCCAGCTCCTGATCACCTTTGCTGATGGGGGAACCCCACCTGTCCTGGAGGCCCTCAAGGAGGCTGAGGTGCCTTGTGATCGGGACAAGTCGGGAACCCCTCTCCACTTCAGATTCAACCATTCAACCCTTTTTAGTCATGGAGAAAGTGGAGGAAGCCTCGTGCTGTTGCTGAAATATACTGGAAAATGAGCGCCGAGAGCATGAAGAATTTCTTTGACTCGCTAATGTTGCTTCAAGCCAAAAGGTTAACCTTGACTATGGAAGTCCTCAAGAAACGTCAGGAGCTGGAAGCTGCTCTTAGAAGACCTCCCCCTCCCAAGATTGAGCAAGTGCACCCAAATAGTTTCCAGATCGGTATTGATCCAGTCGCCATTGGGAAGCCTTCAGTCTCCAGGTACCAGGTGGAATATCGGATTGCAGGGCAGAATTGGAAGAGTCTCCATACTGAAGGCCCTAAAGATCAATTCACTTTGCAAGATGTGCACCTAAATCTTCAGTACCAATTCCGATGTGCAGCTGTGAATGAATTTGGGCTCGGTCAATGGAGCAAGGAGATCACTTGCATCTATCCTAGGGAGAGGTCTGCAGAGGTAACTTGACACCTTCTTTGGAGGAAGAGTGGGGGAGGAGGAGCACAAGGAGGCAGTAAAATAGGCTGATACCAGTTTTGGGTGCTCCATCGCTGGAGATTTTGAAGATTTTTGGCATTTGCAGCAAAGAAACTCCAGGGAAATTCTTTTACCAAGAGTTTAAGTTTCCTGATAGATCCATATAGGCCAGTGGTTCTCAACCTGTGGGTCGGGACCCCATTTGGGGTCGAACGACCATTTCACGGGGGTCGCCAAACAACACAGTCCGCCATTTTTCCCCCTTTTCCTTAGCTGTGCTACTGCCTTTTATTCTATTGGCTTTTGAAAGCCAATAGAATAGACTCTCTTGAATAGAGTCTAATTCTGCACCAGTTGAGTAATCCTCAACTTACGACCAGTTGAGTAGTCCTCGACCTACAGCCGGTTGGGGGTCGCGGCATTAAAAAGGTTGAGAACTACTGATATAGGCACAGTAGAAGCAAAGCTAGTTTTCAGGTTTTGCCATTAAAAATAGCACAGCAATAATCCCCCCTTTCCTCCCCGGGCCACCCATTGTCCGTTGTCCACCAATCCAGTTCAATCATTGTTTTGGGAAACACCTTGAGGTGCTGGAAACTTTCTCAGGCCACAACCCGTGCGCATACATTCCTCATTCCCCCCCCAGCCACCCATCAATTGCAATCATCCCCTTCCGCCCTCCCTAGTTTTTGTTGTCTGGTGGTGAGTAAGGTTTGCAAAGTGGGTCAGCCATGATGCACGAGGCCACGGGAGCCGAGCAGGAGTGACTGGTCTCTGACCTGATGGAGACAGTGCCGGTGGCCGAGGGCCGTTTTGGAGAATGGAGGGAGAGACTACAAGTGTGAGGTCCATCCTGTGGGATGTCTTAGAAGAGGAACAGGGCTGAGTGGGAAGACCACTCGGGGAACCTGCTGGAGGGGGGGCAGATCTGATCCAAGTCAGGAACTTTTTTAATCCCCCTCCAAATCTTGCTTGATTTCCGGGTGAGGTGAGTTCTTAGCAACCTCTGAGCAACGCAGCCTCTCCTTTGGCTGATTCTGTTTTGCTTTTCACGCAGAAATCTCAGGTTATGTGCTGTGCGGCTGGTCTGCATATGACTGTACACATCCAAGGTAAAGTCTTGGGTTCAGGTGGGGTGGAAGCTACTGTTCTGGGGGGGGGGGGGGACAGGCTGTGACGGTCGTACACTGCTGACCAGTCCCCTTCTTCTCTCTTCTCCCCTTTGGGTTGTAGGGTCTGAACAGAGGATCGTCCTTGTGGGCAGAAGCGGAAATGGGAGAAGTGCAACGGGAAACACAATTCTGGGAAGCAACGTCTTTAAAAGTTACATGTCACCTAGATCAATAACAAAAGCATGTCAAAAGGAGGACACACAGCTAAACGGCAGGAAGGTTGTGGTTGTTGATACGCCTGGCTTTTTCTATAGCAGTTGTCCAGTCAACGACGTTGTTGCAGAAGTGAGGAAGTGCGTGAAGTTTTGCTCCCCGGGTCCCCACGTCATTCTGCATGTGATACGTCCTAGTCGTTTCACTCAGGAGGAGGAGCAGGTGCCTCAGCTGATCAAAGAGATTTTTGGCCTTAAAGCCAAAAATTACATCATCCTTTTGTTCACGCGCAAAGAGGATCTGGAAGGTACATCTATCGAAAATGTCATAGCTGTATATGATACAAAACTGCAGCAATATGCTGCTGAATGTGGGAACCGGTTCCTGGCTTTCAACAACAAGGCCGAAGGGGCGGAACGAGAGGCTCAGGTGGCCGAACTGATGATCATGATTGATCGTCTGGTAGAAACGAACAAAGATGCTCCTTATTACACGGAAGAGATGATGAGCTTCAACGAAAGACACAACTTTTTTTTTTTCCCCTTTCCAACAGAGGTCAGAAAGTCTCTTTAACTGAGCCTCAGCTCCCAAGGTGGCAACTCTGCCAAACGCAACAGCCCTTCTGTTCTGGGTTCTAATCCAGCCCTTGCCATGTGACCTCTGAAGAACCCAAGCCAGAGATTCGTGGCTGAGTTCCACTCAACCGATCCCTTCTCTTGAGAATCCGCTTCCTCCCCCTTGGATGACAGGACTTTCTTCAAGGGCACGGGAAGATCCTGCCCACCCGTCCCAGGATCAGTAGGTCCCACAGCCAAATTCTCTCCCATTCTGGACCCATGTCCCTTAGGGAGGACCAGGTCTTTGGGGCTTCCCACCTGTCTGTCCTTCGAGGTAGACCAGGCCGGGAAGCCAACAACACAAGAAATTTTAGAGCTCAACTTTACGGGGAGAGCAGGAGAATCTGGAGAGCACTCCTTCTGGCACCAAATAGCATCAAGCCAGGGCAGCCTTGAGCTTCTTTCTCGCCCCTTCCTGTTTACCTGGAGTGGATTCGTCTTTTCCTGACAGCTGCCACATATTTTCTGCATGGCTGAGTCTGTACTCCTGTACATCAGGGGTCCACAACCCGTGGGCTGTGGACTGATACCGATCTATGGCCCACCAGGAACTGGGCTGCGCAAGTGGTCAAAGTCCCATTCCTGCATGGGTGGGATCCACGCAGCATGTAAAACCAGGGCCCCCTGCTCCATGGAAAAACTGCCTTCCACGGAACTGGTCCCTGGTGCCCAAAAGGTTGGGGGGCGCTGCTCTACACCACCTTCCAGAGGCAACACCTGGACTCACTAGGACGGTCATGACTGTTTCAATCAGAGACCTTCTTGTTAAATTCCTCTTTCCTTACAAAAATGTCTTGTGTCTCTCTCCGTGTGTGTGTGAGTGTCAGCGGGACTAATGAAGCTCAGCCTAACCAGCTCTGTCTGCAATGTGATCCAAAGGCAGAGGAGAACGGGGATGTTGTCCAATCGTCCTGGAGAGAGGGGGACATGGAATTCGTGTCAGATTATACTCGAGGGATGGAGCAGAATGCAGGGTATCCCCCGTAGCTTTTCACACTGGCTCCAGGAAGGGGGTCTGAGGAAATCAGGCTCCTGCTGGATCCTTCCCATCTCTTAGTGTCTGTCAGCTCCACTCCAGATTCTTCTCTTCGCCGACTTGCTTCTGGTCTCCTGGTCAAGCAAGAGGAAGAAGGACATATGCCCAGCAGCCAAATTTGCAGCAGGACGTTCGGATTTGTCAACCTCTTCTCCAAAGCCCCTGAAGGACGGACAAGAAGCAACGGATGGAAACTAACCAAAGAGAGAAGCAACCTGGAACTAAGGAGAAACTTCCTGACAGTGAGAACAATTAATCAGTGGCATGACCTGCCTCCAGAAGTGTTAGATGGATAGATGGATGGAAGAGGGGAAAGATATATATGGTGGAAGGGAGGGAGGAAGGAAGAAAGGTGTGGGGAGGGAGGGATGGAAGAAAGGAAGGAGACGGGAGGGCGGAAGTATGAGGGATGGGTAGATGGGAATGAGATATATGATGGGAGGAAGGAAGGAGAGGGAGGGATGGAGGGAGGGAGATAAATGGGGGAGGGGGAGGAAAGAAGGGAGATATATGGGGAAGGAAGGAGGGATGGGGAGGGAGGGCTGGGGCATGCTGGGAGTTGAAGTCTATCCATTTTCAAGTTCCCAAGGATGAGAAACAGCCAGAGAGAGGGAGGGAGGGAGAGAGAGAGATCAGAGCTTCTCAACATGCTGGTTGAGGCATGCTGGGAGTTGAAGTCCACCCATTTTCAAGTTCCCAAGGATGAGAAACAGCTAGCCTTTAGTATATGTAAATAAATACGTTTAACATTCAGACTTACTTTTGCCATCATCCAGAAAGAAAGAAAAAACCAAAATAGTCAGGAGCACAGGAACACCTTGAGGTAAAATTGCACAGCAGCAGTCCAGGTGAAATCGGAGAGACTAACACAAACTTGTTGTCTTTTACATATCTATCTATAAATAATATTTAATGTTCAAACTTACAAGAGTCTTTTTTTTATTAATTTTTTTTTAAAGTTTTACAATAAAAACCCCTTCCCCAATCCCTCCCAACCCACCCCAAAACCCTCCCCCGTTCTTCCCAGAGCTGAATATAGGCTTAACTAGATCTTAAAAGAAAAAAAGTTTTAAACCCAAATAAACCTTAAGCAAATATAATTACACTCAATAAACAAATTGTAAAATACTTTAACTCCATTATATATAAAAAACAAAAAGAGGGGGAAAAAAAGAGAAAATAAAAAAATAAAAAATTAAAGAATAATAACAATTACACTTCTAAATACTATCTTAAACTTATATAAATTATTCAAAAGCTAGATAATATTTTCTTATATCATACTTATATTGTATAAAATTTATCCATCTTTTCCACACCAAACGATACTTCTCTTGCGATTGATCTTTCAAGAAAGCCGAAATTTTTGCCATTTCCGCTAAGTAAGAAACTTTAAAAAACCATTCTTGCAAAGTAGGCAAAGATTCCTTCTTCCAATATTGCCCTATTAACAACCTAGCCGCAGTAATTAAATTTAACATTAAAATAATCTCTTTTTCATCACAATCAGAAACAATACCCAACAAAAACAATTGTGGAGTAAATTTTATCCTTCTTTTAAAAATTCTTTGAATATTCCACCATATCGTAATCCAAAAAGCTTTAATACTTTTACATGACCACCAGATATGATAATAAGTAGCATCCGAGCAGCCACATCTCCAACATTTAGGCTGCAGGTTTGGATACATACGAGACATTTTTTGTGGATCAAGGTGCCATCTATAAAACATTTTATGAAAGTTTTCCCGTAAGTTTTGGGCTTGCGTGAATTTAACATTCCTCACCCAAATAATCTCCCATGTATCTAATAAAATCGGGTCATCAAAATTTTGTGCCCACTTAACCATACAATCTTTAACTAGCTCTGCTTCTGAATCCAATTCCACCAAAACACCATAAATTCTTTTAATGTGGGTTCGACTTTGATCTCTAATTTGTTTTAACAAATTCTCATCCTCTCTGAGCAAGCCCACCTTATAATCTATCTTCCACCTTTCCAATAATTGCCTATACTGAAACCATGAATAAATAATATTTTCTTGTGCTAATTCATCCATAGATTTTAATTGCCAGTTTTTACCATCCCACTTAAGTAATTGTGTATAAGAAATAATATCCATCTTAACTCCTCTCCTTATTCCTTCTATTGCATGCCATGGAATAGCCCATAATGGAATTCTTGAATCACTTCTATAGTATTTCTTCCAAACCCGAAGTAAAGAAATTCTTAAGATATGATATCTAAAGACCCTATCAACCTTTTTATTATAAATTAAATAGGCATGCCATCCAAAAAGTAAATCCCATCCCTCCAAAAGGAGTATATCTACATTTGCTAGATTAACCCAATCACTAATTGATGTTAAAACCACAGCATCGTAATACAATTTCAAATCCGGTACCTTAAGTCCACCTCTCTCTCTCGTATATCTTGTAAAATTTTAAGTTTTACTCTTGGTTTTTTCCCTGTCCAGATAAATTTATTGATACCTTTCTGCCACTCATCTAAATTTGCTTCTTTCTTTAAAATAGGTATCATTTCAAACTTACAAGAGTCTTTGTCATCATCCAGAAAGGAGGAAACACAAGACAGTGGGGAACACAGGAAGATCCTGAGGTAAATTAAACAGTAGGCAGAACACAAAGAAGAAAAAAGGCTGGGGGGGGAGGGAAACGCCCCCTTTATAATTAAGGCAACCAATCAGAGCGCAGATCACCTCGTGCATGAACAGACAAGATAGTGGGGTAGATAGGAAGATTCTGAGGTAAATTAAACAGTAGGCAGAAGACAGAGAAGAAAAAAGGCGGGAAGAAACGTAAGCTGGATGGATGGGAAAGATGGAGGGTTGGAGGGAGAAAAAGAGATCAAAGCTACTCAATGTACTGGCTGGGGAATTCTGGGAGTTGAAGTCCAGCCATCTTCAAGTGGCCACGGCTGAGAATCACCATCCCAGAGGCTGCGAAGCTCTCGATGTGGGAGGAAATGATTTCCAGGCAATCCTGGCGGTGGAGTGTTTTGCCCCTGCCCCGTCCCCCCACCAGTCTGGCTGTTCTTTTCCACACCCCCAACACCCCCTTTATGAAAATGGAGACCTGGTGGTCAGCCAGAACCGGGAGCTGCCTTCAACCCCTCGTCCATTTTCTCTTCAGTGAAAGTGGCCAGGCTGGAGGTAGGTTCCTGGGGGGCGGGGGAGGGGAAGAAAAGTTTTCTAGCTTCTGAGGTAAATGAAACAGTAGGCAGAACACAGAGAAGACAAAAGGCGGGAAGAAAGGAAAGCAGGATGGATGGGAAAGGGAGGGAGGATGGGAGAATAAAGATCAGAGCTTCTCAACACACTGGCTGGAGAATTCTGGGATTTGAAGTCCAGCCACTTGCAAGTTGCCAAGGATGAGAAACGGCTGGCTGGCTGGATGGAAGGATTGTAAAGATGGATGGGTGGATGGATTGGAAAGGTGGATGGATGGATTGATGGATTGGAAAGATAGATGGATGGATGGATTGGAAAAATGGATGGATGGATGGATTGGAAGGATGAATGGATGGATTGGAAAGGTGGATTGATGGATAGATGGATTGGAAAGGTGAATGGATGGATGGATTGGACAGATGGATGGATGGATTGGAAAAATGGATGAATGGATGGATGGATTGGAAAGATGGAGGATTGGAAAGATGGATGGATGGATTGGAAAAATGGATGAATGGATGGATGGATTGGAAAGATGGAGGATTGGAAAGATGGATGGATGGATGGATTGGAAAGATGGATGGATGGATTGGAAAGATGGATGGGTGGATGGATTGGAAAGGTGGATGGATGATGGATAGATTGGAAAGATGGATGCATGGATGAATGAATGGGTGGATGATGGAGGGATGATTGATGGATGGATTGAAAAGATGGATGGACTGGAAAGGTGGATGGATGAATGGATAGATGGGTGATGGATGGATTGGAAAGAGATGGATGATGGATGGATTGGAAAGATGGATGGATGATGGATTGAAAAGATGGATGGATTGGAAAGATGGAGGGATGGAAGGCGGGAGGGGAGGAAGGGAGCGATGGAGAGAGAGATTAGAGCTTCTCAACATGTTGGCTGAAGGATTCGGAGAGTTGCAGTCCACCCATCTGCAAGTTGCAAAAGGATGAGAAACACCTTTGCGTGGATGGACAGACGGACAGATGGAAGGAGAGAGGGATGCATAGACAGGGTGGGGGGGGAATATGCGTGGATGCACGGAGTGAGACAGATCAGTGCTTCTCAACACACTGGCTGGGGCATTCTGGGAAGCCAAGCTTGAGAAACGCCACCCTGGAGGCTGTGAATCTCTGGGGTGTTGGCCTCCCTGAATCTCTGTGTGTGTGTGTGTGTGTGTTTCCACTAGCAGCCCCCCTTCCTCCCTCCCCCTTTATGAAGATGGAAAAGCAGTCATCCAGCACCCGGAGTTGCCTTCCAACCCTGTGCATTTCCTCTTGAGAGAAAGCTAAAGTGGAAGTTAGACACAACCAGGTCCTCGCCCAGCCTGGATTCAGCCTCTTAGGCAGCAGCTGAAGAGAGAGGTGAAGGTAAGGGGTCCCAGGTGTGTGGGAGGGAGGAGCAGAGAGACCCTGGTTTGTGGGAGGGAGGAGCAGAGAGAGAGAGAGAGAGAGTCAGTGGGAGGAGAGAGGGAGAAGGCCAGGCTTCTTCAGAGGAGGGGGGGGAGTCTTGTGCGGTCAAGTCTCTCAGCCCCCAGTGGGACGGGGTGGGGGGAGTCGAAGAGCTCCTGTGGTGGCAAACCTCACCTCCCCACCCCCGCCAAGCCCACGGATTTTGGTCCTGCCCCCAGGAATTCCAGGTGGGGGCCTTCTTGTAAACAGATGCATTCCGATGCTCTCAATTTCTGTCTTTCCTTCTTTTGCAGGGACCAGTCTTAGTCCAGAAGTCACAAAAGCAGGGCTGGGAATTCCTTGTGTGCCTGGTCGCCTCTTCCTCGCTGCTCGGCATCAGGCGCCAGGCCTCCCCCCCCCCCCCAAAGCCTCTCCTGAGCTTGGCTTAAGTTCAGAGAGGTTGGAAGCTCTCCAGGTAGGACTTCCTTCTTGAGCTCAGGCCTCGTGTTGGTTTTTTTTTGTGGCGCAGAGGAAACAGCCTGCAATTTTGCGACGGGTGTCAAAACTGGCTACTTCTTGCCCAAGGGAAAACCAGAGCCCATTGTCCACAGCCTGGACAGCTTTGACCAACCTCCGCCACTGTGGGGACCTGGAGACCGCCCCCCAGTTGAGGTCCAGAACAAATCGGTCCTCTTGCGGCCAGGAAACAGGAGCCTCTCCTGCCGAGTCAAAAAGGGATTTTCGATGCAATGACATCTTCCCTTTTTCCTCTGGATCTCAACCGTCTTTCAAGGCTGGGAATCCTCCCAAGTGCCGGAAAGGATTGGCCGTCTCGGATTCTCCGTGTTCTCGGAACTTGGCCTTTTGCCCCTGGTTTCTTCTGGAAAGTTCCCTTCCTCATTTGGGTAACCCTCCGGGCCTTCCTCAGCCTGGGCGACCTGAAGCTGTCTCTGGACTTCAACTCCCAGCATTCCTCAGCCAGGAAGTCGAAGTCCACGGAGCTGAAAGTTGCCAAGGCCGTAAATCATTTAAAACGAACTTTCCCTCGGCTTCCCTCACTGTTTCTGAAGCGCCTTCCTGTTTGAGGGCTGGTCTGAAATGGGATCGCTTTCCTGCTTGAGCAGGGGGCTGGACTAGAAGACCTCCAAGGTCCCTTCCATCACTGTTATTGGGAGCAGAAGAAGGAGAAGACTTCCTGCTTGAGCAGGGGGTTGGACTAGAAGACCTCCAAAGTCCCTTCCAGCTGTTCTTCTCTTACCCCACTCCACAGGTGCCTCTGCCCCCCCCCCAGTTCTGTGCAGAGGGCCCTTGCTCACCCAACCCATGACGGCCAACTCTTCCCAGCAGGAAACGTGTCCACCGACAGTGGGTGAAGGGTGGCCCTGCCCACCGTACGCCTTTTGGGTGTCCCAATTCACCCTGCTTGTCCCAAAAACATATGGCAGCAACGGAGGCGGCCTGCAGCATTTGGGGGTCTGGGAGAGGGGAGGGGAGAGGAGGGAAAAAATGGAATGCAATGGAATGGAAGAGAGAATAGAAAATCAAATCGAGAATCAAATAGAATATAGAAAAGAAAATAATAGAATATATAAAAGAATATAGAAGAGAAAAATAGAAAATAATAGAAAATAGAATATACAAAAAAATATAGCATAGCATAATAGAATAGAATAGAATAGAATAGAATAGAATAGAATAGAATAGAAACTGGAACAGAATAGAATAGAATAAGAAGTAGAATTAATAGAAACTGGAATAGAATAGAGTAGAATAGAATATATGGAATGGAATGGAATATAGAATAGAATAAGAATTAGAATTAATAGAAACTGGAATAGAATAGAATATATGGAATGGAATATAGAATAGAATAGAATATATGGAATGGAATGGAATAGAATAAGAATAGAATAACAGAGTTGGAAGGGACCTTGGAGGTCATCTAGTCCAACCCCCTGCTCGAGCAGGAGACCCTTACAGAATCACAGACATGGAAGGGACCTTGGAGGTCATCTAGTCCAACCCCCTGCTTGAGCAGGAGGGACCTTGGAGGTCATCTAGTCCAACCCCCTGCTCGAGCATTACAGAATCACAGACATGGAAGGGACCTTGGAGGTCATCTAGTCCAACCCCCTGCTTGAGCAGGAGACCATTACAGAATAACAGAGTTGAAAGGGACCTTGGAGGTCATCTAGTCCAACCCCCTGCTCGAGCAGAAGACCCTTGACCGTTTCAGACAATTGGCTGTCCAGTCTCTTCTTAAAAATCTCCAGGGTTGGAGCACCCATGACTTCTGGTGGCAAGCTGTTCCGCTGGTTGTCCTCACGGTTAGGAAGTTTGAAGACCCCTGCCCTGTAGAGGTGCTTCTCCTCCAGGGCTGGCTGGGGAATGCTGGGAGTTGAAGTCCACGAGTCCCACAGTTTCCGGGTTTGGACACGAAGAACCGAGAGAGGGATTTGCTCCCCTCTGCTGTGTGATTGTGAAGTCATTTATGGAAAACATTTTCTGCTTCTCTTATTGCAAAGGACTTAAATGGTATCTCTAGATCTTTCTTAGATTTCAGAAAGAAGCATTAAAATACAATCATAAATCTCTCTCTTCTCCCCTAATTGTCATTCTTTTTCTTTCTTCTCATTCTTTCCCTTATTCTTTGTCTTCTTTCTCTCATTTTTTCTGACAGTCTTTCCCTTTCTCTTTTCATTCTCTCCTCTCATTCTCACTTTCTTTCTCTCTTCTGTCTCTCATCTCTCATCTCATTCTTTCCCTTATTCTTTCTTTTTCTTTCATCCTCATTCTTTCTCACCCTCATTATTTCTTTCCCTTTCTCTTGTCATTCTCATTCCTTCTCATTCCCTCATTCTCTCCCTTTTTTTCTCATCTCTCTTCTAATTGTGTCATTCTCTCAAATTCTTTTTCTCTCATTCTTTCTCCTTCTGTCATTATTTTCTTTCTCCTTGTCATTCTTTCTCTCAATTTATTTCTCATCCTCTCCCTCTCTTCTCATTCTCTCCCCCTAATTCTGTCATTCTTTCTGTTTCTTTCTTTCCATTCTTTTTTCTCCTTTCTTTGTTATTCTTTCTTTTCATTCTTTCTCACTCTCTTCTAATTGTCATTCTCTTTCTCTCTGTTCTAATTATTTTTTTCTCATTCTTTCTTTCTGTCCTCCTGTCATTCTTTCATTCCCTCTCTTCTAGAAAATTCTGTCATTCTTTCTTTCTCAATCTATTTCTCATCCTCTCTCTTCATTTTCTCCCCAATTCTGTCATTCTTTCTTTCCATTATTCTCTCCTCTCATTGTTAATTTTTCTCTTTTCATTCTCCTCATTCTCTTTTCTTTCTCAATCTCTTCTAATTCTTTCTTTCTCTCTATTCTAATTTTCTTTTTCTTTCATTTTCTCATTCTGTCCCTTTCTCCTTCTCTGTCATTCTTTCATTCTCTTTCATACCCTGTCTTCTTTCCCTCTCTTCTAGAAAATTGTGTCATTCTTTTTTTCTCAATCTATTTCTCATCCTCTCTCTCTCTTCTCATTCTCCCAATTGTCATTCTTTCTCATTCTGTTGGCTCATTCTGTCTTCTACACACACAGAGACACAAACAGACACATACACACAAAGAGAGAGAGAGAGAGAGGCTCTATTTCTCCTCCAAAAGATTATTTTAGTTAAGAACTGCTTCAGTTCATTTTTCTCCCCATGGAATGTAAGTAAAACGTAATGTTTCTCCAATAAATGGTAAATGCCAAAAAAAAAAACCAAAAACGATTGTTTTAGGGAGGAAACCATGAGGGAAATCCTGAGGTAAACGACCGGGAGAGAAAAAAAAAGGCAGGAAAAGAAAGAGGACGCTCCCCCTCCCCCTCCACACCCAGAACGACCAATTCCAGTGCAGATCGCCTCAGGCAGGCGCGCCGGCCCTCTCCGGCCAATCAGTTGTACGTGGGCGGGGCCTGGCTCACCCTGACGACCTTTCCCTGAAGCGGCTGCTGAACTTAAGGAGCTTTAGAGTTGGGGTGGCTGGGGAGGGGGTTGGGGCGTCTCCCTCCCCCGTGGGTCCCCCCCAACGGGCCACGTGACTCCCCCCTCCCTCTTCTGGACCCTATTCTGCAACTGGCAAGGCTGTGGGGCCTAGTGGTTGCTCGTTGGGTGATTGTCTGGAGCTTTTCGTTCTTTTTTTTAAAAAAAAAAATATCTGTATGCCTATTTTGAGGGAAAGCCCCTCGGAGCCATTCTGGAAGGAAAGAAGGAAGGAAGACGAGGGAGAGAAGGGAAACGAGAAGGGAGGGAGAGAAGGACGACAGGGAGGGAAGGAGATGGATAAAGAAGGAAGGAAAGAAGGATGGATGGATGTTGGAAGGAAGGAAGGAAGACGAGAGGCAGAAAAGGAAGGAGCATGGATGGATGGGAAGAAGCAACAAAAGAAAGTTGGAGGAAGGAAGGAAGACAAGAATGGAATGAGAGAAGGAAGGAAGATGAGGGAGGCAGGGAAGGAAAGAGATGGATGGGGGAGGGAAGGAAGGAAGATAAGAGGGAGAGAAGGAAAACAAGGTAGGCAAAGAAGGAAGAAAGACAGAGGCAGAGGAGGAAAGAAAGATGGGTGGGGGGGTGGAATCAAAGAAAGTTGGATGGAGGAAGGGAGGAAGATAAGAATGGAAGGAGAGGAGGAAGGAAAACAGAAGGAGAAAAGGAAAGAAGACAGAAGAAGGAAGCAGAAAAGGAAGTCCCACCATTCCATTGCCCAGGCCTAGAAGATCAGTGGTGACTTCCATAACATGGTGCCATAGAATTGCAATGGGATAGATGGTATCTTTTGATATCTAAGGAAGCCAACCATCAAAGTGCTTCTGGTGCCACTGTGGTGAAACAATCTGCGGTGAGACAATCTGGGGTGCCTCCAAAGTTAATGAGGAGACGTTCTCCAACTATATGTGTTATAGTTTGTTCCGGTGTGCCACAGTTGCCTTGCAAGCTCTCAGCCATTCCCCACTTAAAGAGCTTTGCCTTAGCATGGCCTGTCCTGATTCTATCAGTCAATCAGAATAGAGCTGGAAGGAACCTTGGAGTCCAGCCCGCTGCTCAAGCAGGAGACACGACTAGTTAATTGTTCTCACTCACTGTCAGGAAGTTTCTCCTTAATTCCAGGTTGTTTCTCTCCTTGGTTTGTTTCCATCCATTGTTTCTTGTCCTGACTTCAGATGCTTTGGAGAATAAGTTGACCCCCTCCTCTTCTTTGTGGCTGCCCCTCAAATACTGGAAGACTGCTGTCATGTCCCCCCCCCCAGTCCTTCTTTTCTCTAGACTTGCCATACCCAAATCCTGCAATTGTTCTTCATCTTTTAATCTCCAGGCCTTTAATCAACTTAGTTGCTCTTCTCTGCACTTTTTCCAAAGTCTCAAAACCAGTGGTTCTCAACCTTTCTAATGCCGCGACCCCATAATATAGTTCCCCATGTTGTGGTGACCCCCCAACCACTTATACATCACTGGGTGCCAGGGGCGTGGCCAAAGAAAAGGGGAAAAAATGGCGGACAGCCTTGTTTGGCAACCCCCGTGAAATGGTCGTTCGACCCCAAATGGGGTCCCGACCCACAGGTGGAGAACCACTGCTCAAAACTCTTTTTTATAATGTGATCAAAACTAAATGCTCTATTCCAGGTGTGGCCTTACTAAGGCTTTAGAAAGCGGTACTAATCCTTCGTGTGATACTGATCCTATGCCTCCGTTTATACAACCATGATTCGTACTGTATTAGTTTTTTTGGGCTGCTACGAGACGCAATCTCATACAATCTCTGGACTCTGTTCCCATCGTAAACGCCATCATAAACCCTACCAGCGGTTCAAAGGACGGAGAGATCTAGCAGGGAAGCAGCAAAAGAGAGCAGTAGGTCCCACCTGCCAACAGAGATTCCTGACTCCTCCAACCAGGTGAGGACCCCAGAAGTGCCGAGACCTCCGAGTTGGCATTTGCGGTGACAGCGGAGTGGAGTCGGGCGAGGGCACGGCTATTCCTGGGCATCTGGTGGAAAGCGGGTCAGTCTTGGACTGGGTGGCTCCCTGCTTTTACACGAGAGCAAGTGGTCCCTCCTTTCTGGGAAACGCTAAGGGGGTGGATAGGACACCCTCAGTGTTAGGAAAGGCAGTTTCCAGCAGGACGAGGGATTTAGCAACAGATGTGACACAGATGCACCTGTGTTGTTGAGGGGGGGGAAATATTCCAGGAAATTTGGGGAGAGGGGTTGCTCCTTTTCGGGAAGGCTTCTGAATTCAGCCAAACAAGGGGAGAGCTGGAACGGGGAGGGGGAAGGAAGGAGGGGACACCTTCATCTAAAGCCCCCACGCCGTTGTGACTCTCAATCCCCCCTCCAAACTCCCCAGGAATTTTTCCAGCAAGATTCCAAGATCTTCCCAGAGGAATCAGACTTTGCTCTCTGTGCTGGGGGGGGGGAAATGGGAGGGGCTTTGTGCCTGGAGAGAGACAACTTTGGTTCTGCTGGCTCCCCTGAAAACGTGCTATGGCTCGGCTGGGAGGAAGGAGGAAGTGGGCAGGCACATCCGTGTGTGACTTCCTTCTCAATCAGTCAACCAATCAATCAGAATAGAGCTGGACAGGGCCTTGGAGGTCCAACCCTCTGCTCAACTCCAGGCAGAGTCTTCAGTTAATACAATGGGTGTGACCCTAATCCAGGAACTGGCTCCTCTCCCCTCCTTCAGCCATCCCAGAAATTGGAGTACCATCGGTGGGTGGGGTGAGACTTGAGGCCCCACCTGCATCCCCTCATAGAGTCATAAGTCGGTCTCGGCCTCCCCCAGACGGTTCCTTTCTCTCTTGCAGGGCAACAAGCTTGCAGCCACCAGCAAATGCCAAGCATGGCTGAGACAGACGATGCCATAGAGATTGCAGCCCTCGGCCGCCCCTTCCAGCTGGGGATGCTGTACGACTGCCGCAAGGATGCCCTCGTCCCAGGTAGGAGCCGGAGGAGAGGCTGATGGGTGGGCATCCCTGGCAGGAAACCTGGGAGGGAGAGAGACAGGCACTGCCATCAATTGCAGGCTTAGCCCAAGCACACTTAAGAGCTGGCATCCTGAACACAGGGCCTGCTACTACCAGCTAGCCGAGTAGGGTCTTCTGCCTGGCATGTGTATGCAGCAGTGCTGGCCCTGACTTCCAAATGTGGGGTGGGTTTCCATACCAAACTCACTGAAATGCTTTGGGAAAGGACAAAATCTCTCTACTCAGTCAAAGGCCTTTGGGGGGTTTTGCAGTATTTTGCAAAACAGACCATTTCCCTGGTGACTGGTGGACAGAACAAAGGATGTTAACCTCAGGGAGAAAGGATGTCCCCTTGTCCAAGCTCTCTGGGGCTTCTCTATCCAGTTTCAGATTTATCTCCCTGTCTTCTCCTGTTCCGTGCAGGCGTCACCCTTTGGGACTACAGCTCCCTTCAGAAGGACCTGACCACCAGGCCTCAGCCCAATACAGAAACTAAAATCATTGCATCTGACAATATTGATGACAAGGCCTCTGCCCTGGACATCTCAGGATCCCTCAAGGGCAGCTTCCTGGGGGGGCTGGTTGATGTGAGAGGATCAGCCAAGTATCTTTACAACACCAAGAAGTCCAAGCAACAGGCTAGAGTCACCGTCCAGTACAAAACCACCACCAGATATGAACAGCTGACCATGAGCCATCTGGGAATCCAGAATATCTCCCACCCAGCAGTCTTTGAGCATGGCACGGCCACCCACGTGGTCACCGCCATCCTCTACGGAGCCCAGGCTTTCTTCGTGTTTGACCGAGATGATTCCTCAACAGAAATGGTAAAAAATATAGAAGGAAATCTCCACGTCACAATCAGGAAGATGATATCCGTCACAGGACAAGAAGATATGAAGCTAAACAAGGAGGAGAAAGAGAGTGCGCTGAAGTTCAGTTGCACGTTCCATGGAGACTTTTCTCTGGAGAAAAATCCAGCGACCTTCCAAGATGCCATGACAATTTATGAGACTCTGCCAAAAATGTTAGGGAAAGATGGGGAGAAGGCTGTTCCTGTGTGGGTCTCGCTCTACCCACTGACCAAGCTGGACACCAGAGCAGCTAAAATGGTCCGCGAGATCAGCCTAGCGTTGATCTTTGATGTTGAAAGCATCTTGGAGGAACTCGACGAAATCCAGATGCAAAGTAACGATCTAGCCAAGGATCCCATTTGTGACACCTTCCCTGAGATCAAGAGGAAGATCCAGCAGTTTAAGAATCTGTTAAAGCAACACAGGCAGACTTTCCAGAAAGACCTGGCCAGAGTGTTGCCTTCCATCCGGGGTGGAGGGCAGGAGGAAGGGACCCTGGTGGATATCTTGACCTCTGTCAAGCAGTCTCCCTTCAACAGCCAAAGACTCCATGAATTTCTGGACACCAAGAAAAGAGAAATTAACTTTGTCAAATCTTTTCTGACTATTTTAAATAAGATACAAATTATCTCATCTAAGAACAAGTTGGAAGAAATAGTTCTCGATCCTCAGAATGGATACGTGGTCTCCTTTGTATTCACTTCTTTGCAGGAAGAGGAGCCGTTTCTGTTGAGCTTACGGGACAAGCTTCAGGAGCGATTCTTGCAAGAATCAGCTACGTCCACAAGATCCACTCCTGGGGTGAAGAAAGGCAAGGCCTGGGTTGAGGACCAGGAGAGGACCCACAATGCTCGCCAAGCGGCCAAATCCATGAAAGACTTTTTCATTGTCAATCAATCGAATGAGAAAGTCCGCTTTGTCGTGGCCTCACTCCCAGATGTGGACATCCCAGGAGCCTCCATTTACCTTTATGAAGACGGAAAGCTGATCAGCAAGAACTTTGAGTTGCCCTCAAAACCTCTCCCTTTGCAGATTACTGAACTGAGACACAACAGCATTCAGCTGAAATTTCAGCCAGCTGAACATGGGAGGGCTACAACCTCCAGCTACCTGGTAGAGTACAAGATTGCAGGGGAAGAAAACTGGAAGACCGTGAGGACAGAGGATGCCGGGGAGTTGTTCCTGCTGAAAGATCTGCCTCCAAACACAGAGTACCAGTTCCAGTATGCTGCTTGTTGCAAGCTTGGATTTAGTAAATCCAGTGACCTGAGCCCACCCAAAAAGACTCTTTCCATCAGCCCTCCTGAGAAGTTAAGAAAGGTCACTGCAGCATCTTCTGTCATCTCTGTGGCTTGGATGAATCCCAGCACTGTTGTCTCAGGAGTTGTGGTCAAGGAGTACAAAGTGGAGTACAGAACGGTGGAGGCTGGAGTTGGGAAGAACCAGTGGACTGGGAAAAGGACTGGGAGAAAAACACAGTTTTACCCCATCGAAGGTCTGAAGCCCCAGACGGCATATAGAATACGGGTGTCAGCCGTGTGTGACAATGGAGCTCTGGGTGTCCCCAGTGAGGAGGTGGAAGTGTCCACATCACTGGAGGAAGAAGATGCAGGCAACGTCGCCCACCAGTTCTTTCAGGAAAGCTGCCCGGTGGAGGACACACATCCGTTAGTGTTCGCTCTTCCTCTGAAGAAAGTCCCCTCAGATGCCTCCACCTCCTGTCTCATATACCAGCTTGGAAAGGAGAACCCAAAAGTGCCGAACAAAGTGATCCTGATGATGGGAGCAACATGGTCTGGGAAAACCACACTGATCAACGGGATGATCAATTATATTCTGGGTGTCCAGTGGGGAGATAATTTCAGATTCAAACTGATTCACGAAACCACCCCGAGAAGCGAAGCTGGAAGCAGGACGTCTGAAGTCACTGTCTATGTGGTGCACCATCAGGAGGGTTTCCGGATTCCCTATTCTCTCACAATCATTGATACTCCAGAATTTGCAGGCACAAGAGACACAGAGCAAGACAAACTGGTTGAGAAGCAGCTCCGAGAATTTTTCTCCGCCCCAGGGGACATTGACCACGTTGATGCCATCTGCTTCGTGGCCCAGGCCTTCCTTGCCCATTCAGTTCATGCCCAGAAATGCATCTTTGATTCCATGCTCTCCTTGTTGGGAAAAGACGTGAAGGATAACGTCCAGCTCCTGATCACCTTTGCTGATTGGGGAACGCCACCTGTCCTGGAGGCCCTCAAGGAGGCTGACCTGCCTTGTGATCGGGACAAGTCGGGAACCCCTCTGCACTTCAGATTCAACCATTCAACCCTTTTTAGTCACGGAGAAAGTGGAGGAAGCCATCGTGCTGTTGCTGAAATATACTGGAAAATGAGCGCCGAGAGCATGAAGAATTTCTTTGACTCGCTAATGCTGCTGGAAACCAAAAGTTTAACCTTAACCATGGAGGTCCTCAAGGAACGTCAGGAGCTGGAAGCTGCTCTTAGAAGACCTCCCTCTCTAAAGGTTGAACCAGTCAAACCAAATAGTTTCCAGATCAGTATTGACCCAGTCGCCATTGGGAAGTCTTCAGTCTCCTGGTACCAGGTGGAATATCGGATTGCAGGGCAGAATTGGAAGAGTCTCCATACTGAAGGCCCTAAAGATCAATTCACCCTGGAAGATGTCCAACTAAATCTTCAGATCCAATTCCGATGTGCAGCTGTGACTGAATTTGGGATGGGTCAATGGAGCAAGGAGATCACTTGCATCTATCCAAGGGGGAGGCCTGCAGAGGTATCTTGACACCTTCTTTGGAGGAAGAGCGGGGGAGGAGGAGCACAAGGAGGCAGTAGAATAGGGTGATACCAGTTTTGGGTGCTCCATCATTGGAGATTTTGAAGATTTTTGGCATATGCAGCAAAGAAACTCCAGGGAAATTCTTTTACCAAGAGTTTAAGTTTCCTGATAGATCCATATAGACACAGTAGAAGCAAAGCTAGTTTTCAGGTTTTGCCATTAAAAACAGCACAGCAATAATCCCCCCTTTCCTCCCCGGGCCACCCATTGTCCGTTGTCCACCAATCCAGTTCAGTCATTGTTTTGGGAAACACCTTGAGGTGCTGGAAACTTTCTCAGGCCACAACCCGTGCACATACATTCCTCATTCCCCTCCCAGCCACCCATCAATTCCAATCATCCCCTTCCGCCCTCCCTAGTTTTTGTTGTCTGGTGGTGAGTAAGGTTTGCAAAGCGGGTCAGCCATGATGCACGAGGCCACGGGAGCCGAGCGGGAGAGACTGGTCTCTGACCTGATGGAGACAGTGCCGGTGGCCGAGGGCCGTTTTGGAGAATGGAGGGAGCGACTACAAGCGTGAGGTCCATCCTGTGGGATGTCATAGACAGGAACAGGGCTGAGTGGGAAGACCACTCGGGGAACCTGATGGAGGGGGGGCAGATCTGATCCAAGACAGCTACGTTGGGGGTGGAGAAGAGTCAGAGCCGCTTGAGTCTGGCAAGGTTGCGGGAGGGCAAGGTCAGCCTCAAGAGCACTGAGGAAGGGGTGGTCTTTTTTTTAATGCCCCTCCATTTCTTGCTTGACTTCTGGGTAAGGAGAGTTCTTAGCAACCTCTGAGCAATGCAGCCTCACTTTTGGCTGATTCTGTTTTGCTTTTTACGCAGAAATCTCAGGTTATGTGCTGTGCGGCTGGTCTGCATATGACTGTACGCATCCAAGGTAAAGTCTTGGGTTCAGGTGGGGTGGAAGCTACTGTTCTGGGTGGGGGGACAGGCTGTGACGGTCGTACACTGCTGACCAGTCCCCTTCTTCTCTCTTCTTCCCTTTGGGTTGTAGGGTCTGAACAGAGGATCGTCCTTGTGGGCATAAGCGGAAATGGGAAAAGTGCAACAGGAAACACAATTCTGGGAAGCAACGTCTTTAAAAGTTCCATGTCATGTAGATCAGTAACAACAGCATGTCAAAAGGAGGACACACAGCTAAACGGCAGGAAGGTTGTGGTTGTTGATACGCCTGGCTTTTTCTATACCGGTTGTCCAGTGAACGACGTTGTTGCAGAAGTGAGGAAGTGCGTGAAGTTTTGCTCCCCGGGTCCCCATGTCATTCTGCATGTGATGTGTCCTAGTTATTTCAACCCGGACGAGAAGGAGGTGCCTCAGCTGATCAAGGAGATTTTTGGCCTTAAAGCCAAAAATTACATCATCCTTTTGTTCACCCACAAAGAGGATCTGGAAAGTGAATCTATTGAAAATTTCATATCTGCCCAAGATAAAAATCTGAAGGAATATGCTGCTGAATGTGGGAACCGGTTCCTGGCTTTCAACAACAGGGCCAAAGGGGCGGAACGAGAGGCTCAGGTGGCCGAACTGATGACCATGATTGATCGTCTGGTGGAAACGAACAGAGATGCTCCTTGTTACACGGAAGAGATGATGAGCTTCAACAAAAGACGGTCTGGTTTTTTTTCCCCCTTTCCAACAGAGGCCAGAAAATCTCTTTAATTGAGACTTTAAATTGGAATATTGATAAGAAATTAAAAACTGAGTAAAAATTAATAACAGGATATGGATTGTTTATGAAGAGTGAATGTAATTATGATATGTATAAGCTAAAAATGTATTGATAAATGAAATAATGATGTTCTTATTGAGCTGATATAATTAGAAATATACTAACCTGAATATGAGACAGTAAATTTTAAGGGAAAAAGAGAAGAAATATTTGATGTGGTAATCTGAGATTTGCACTAAGATTTTGTTATTGAACTATTGATTAACCCAGTCACCACGTTGCTTTTTAAATATTCAAATGTAAAATTGGAAAATTAATAAAATATTATAAAAAAAGCACGGATGGATGGATTGGAAAAATGGAGGGATGGATAGATGAGAAAGAGGGAGGGAGCAAAAGAGATCAGAGCTTCTCAACACGCTGGCTGGGGAATTCTGGGAGTTGAAGTCCATCCACTCGCAAGTTGCCAAGGATGAGAAACGGCTGGCTGGCTGGGTGGAAGGATTGGAAAGATGGATGGATGGACGGATGGACTGGAAAGATGGATAGAAGGGTTGGATGGATGGATTGGAAAGATGGATGGATGGATAGATGGATGATGGATGGATTGGAAAGAGATGGATAATGGATGAATGAATGGATGATGGATGGATTAGAAAGATGGATGGGTGATGGATTGGAAAGATGGAGGGATTGGAAAGATGGAGGGATGGAAGGCGGGAGGGGAGGAAGGGAGCGATGGAGAGAAAGAGATTAGAGCTTCTCAACATGTTGGCTGAAGGATTTGGGGAGTTGTAGTCCACCCATCTGCAAGTTGCAAAAGGATGAGAAATACCTTTGCATGGACAGATGGATGCATAGAGGGGGGGGGAAATACGCGTGGATGCACGGAGTGAGACAGATCAGTGCTTCTCAACACACTGGCTGGGGCATACGGGGAAGCCAAGCTTGAGAAACGCCACCCTGGAGGCTGTGAATCTGTGGGATGTTGGCCTCCCTGAATCTTTGTGTGTGTGTTTGTGTGTGTGTCTTTCCACTAGCAGGCTCCCTCCCTCCCTCCCGCTTTATGAAGATGGAGAAGCGGTCAGCCAGCACCCGGAGTTGCCTTCCAACCCTGTGCATTTCCTCTTGAGTGAAAGCGAGTGGAAGTTAGATGGAGGAAGGGAGGGAGGTAGACAAAGAGCAGGGCTTCTCAACATGCTGGCTGGGGAATTCTGGGAGCTGAAGTCCACCCATTTTCATAGGGCCAAGAATGAGAAACAGCTGGAGGGAGGGATGGATTGAGGGAGAGAAAAAGAGATCAGAGCGTCTCAACATACTCGCTGGGGCATGCTGGGAGCTGAAGTCCACCCATTTTCAAGTGGCCAAGAATGAAACAGCTGGAGGGATGGAGGGAGGGAGGGAGATAAAGAGACCAGAGCTTCTCAACATACTCGCTGGGGCATGCTGGGAGCTGAAGTCCCCCCCCCCACTTTCAAGTTGCTCAGCTTGAGAAACATCCTCCCGGAAGCTGTCAAAGTCAGGATGGGGTGTTTGCCTCCCTACGTCTGGAGGGGGGGGGGAGGAAGAAGAGTGGTCTTTCCACCAGGAGCCCCTCTCCCCCCTCCTTTCTGAAGATGGAGAAGTGGTCAGCCAGAACCTGGAGCTGCCTTCCACCGCTGCTCATTTCCTGATGAGTAAAAGCGAAGTGGAAGTTAAGGAGAGGGAAGATTCTTCGGGGAGAAGCTTTCTAGCCCAGTCTGTATTCAGCCTGTAGGCAGCAGCTGCAGAGGAAGAGGAAGCTAAGAGCACACAGGCGTGTGGGAGGGAGGGGCAGAGAGAGCGGGCCAGTGGGAGGGGGGAGGGAGGGAGAAGGCCAGCTTCTCTGGAGTTGGGGGGGGAGAGTTTTGTGAGGTCAAGCTCTCAGCCAATACTTGCGGAGCTCCTGTGGCTGCAAAGACCACCAGCTTGCCAAGGGCCTGAATTCTGATCCTGCCACCAGGACAGGGGAGGAAACCAGGCTGCCCCCTCCCCCGTTCTAAGCGAGGGATTAGGAGTTCCTTTTCTTTTTCTGCAGATGAATGTTTTAGTCGTGAAGTCAGGACTGCACAGGGCTGTGAGGACTCGGTGGCTTGTTGCGAGGGCTTGCCGTTGTCTGACCCTTCACGGGGCTTTGCGAAGTTGGGGGTTGGCAGATCTCCCCCCCCCCGTTGACTTAGAGCTGAGAGCAGAGCCTTGTGGTGGGGCTGCGCAGAGGAAACAGCCTGTAGTTTTCCGAAAGGGCTGAGAATGGGCTACTTGCTGCCGAAGGAAAACAGACTGATGGTCCACAGCTTGACCGACAAGCATGGACTAACCTCTGCCAACGTGGGGACCAGGTCACTCCCCAGTCGAGCCCCAGAACAAATCTTGTCTCTTTGGCCAGGAAATATGGATCTCTCCTGCCTAGAACATAGGATCGCAGGCTGGAAGGGACCTCGGAGGTCTTCTAGTCCAACCCCAGCTCAAGCACTTTGCAGAATCATAAAATGACAGAGCTGGAAGGGACCCTGGAGGTCTTCTAGTCCAACTCCCTGTTCAAGAAGGAGACCGTTACAGAATCATAGAATAACAGAGCTGGAAGGGGCCTTGGAGGTCTTCTAGTCCAGCCCCCTGCTCAAGCAGAACCTCTACCATCTCAGACAAGTGACTGCCTCCTCTCTTCTCAAACACCTCCAGTGATGGAGCGCCCACGATTTCCGGAGGCAGGTTGTTCCACTGGTTAATTGCTTTCACTATTAGGAAATTTCTTCTCAGTTCTAGGTTGCTTTTCTCCTCGATCAGTTTCCATCTGTCGCTTCTTGTCCTGCCGTTCTTCTCCTATGTCTTAAGTCTCCAGGCCTTTGATCATTAAATTGGCCTCTCTGAATTGGCAAGTCTGAGTTGCTTCGAGGCCCTGCCCTTTCCTGTCAGCGAAAGTGAAAGTGGGAATCAGAGAGGTCACACCCTCACCCTAGCCAGGCTGCAAGAAGACTCCTTGGGCAGCTTCCTAGCCCGAATCTGGCAACGGGGCTTGTCACAGTTTAGGCAGCAGCTGCAAACGAAGGGGAAGGTAAGGGGAATCAGATATTAGGAAATTTCTTCTCGGTTCTAGTGGCTTCTCTCCTCGATTAGTTTCCATCTGTTGCTTCTTGTCCTGCCTTCTGCTGCTTTGGAGGATGGGTGGACCCCCCTCTTCTTTGGGGCAGGCCCTCAAATACTAGAATTCTGCTATCATGTCGCCCCTTTCTTTATTTTCTTTACGCTAGCCAAACCCAAGTCCTGCAGCCGTTCTTTTCGTAAGTCTCCAGGCCTTTGATCATTAAATTGAGTTGCTTCGAAGCCCGGCCCTTTCCTGTCAATGAAAGTGAAAGTGAAAATCAGAGAGGTCACACCCAGACTGCAGGAAGACGCCTTGGGCAGCTTCCTAGCCCGAATCTGGCATCGGGGCTTGTCACAGCTTAGGCAGCAGCTGCAAAGGAAGGGGAAGGTAAGGGGACTCAAGATATTATGGGGCAGAGAGAGGGCCAGTAGGAGCGGGAAAGGGGGGAGAAGACCAGGCTTCTCTGGAATTGGGGTGCTGGTGGTGATGGTGTCGGAGGCCTGTGTGGTCAAGACCTCCCTGCCCACAGTGGGGTGGGGGCGTTGCGGCGCTCCTGTGGCCAGAAACATCGCTACACTGCCCAGCCCCAGGATTTTGATCCTGGCACAAGCCCAGCAGAGGAAAGCAGACTCTGCTCCTCTTCCTGCTGTAAACAGATTCATTCGGTTACGCAAATTTCTCTTTCCTTCTTTGCAACTCAGTTAGCTAGAACAGGCACGGGTTTGACGTGCCTGAGCTAGAAAGATTTGTGCCCTCAATTAAGAATAGAACAGAACAGAATAACAGAGTTGGAAGGGACCTTGGAGGTCTTCTAGTCCAACCCCCTGCTCAGGCAGGAAACCCTACACCATTTCGGACAAATGACTGTCCAGTCTCTTCTTAAAAGCTTCCAGTGTTGGAGCATTCACCGCTTCTGGAGGCAGGTGGTTCCACTGCTTAATTGTTCTCACTGTCCGGAAATTTCTCCTTAATTCTAGGTTGCTTTTCTCCTTGATTAGTTTTGATGGGTCATATACAGGTAGTCCTCTAGTTACGCCACAGCTGAGCCCCAAATTTCTCTTGTGAAGTGAGGCATACGTTAAGTGAGCTTTGCCCCATTTGATGATCTTTCTCACCTTGGTTTTTAAGTGAATCATTGCCGTCGATAAGTTAGTCCCTCGGCCGTTAAGTGGATCCGGCTTCCCCAGTTGATTTTGCTTGTCGGAAAGTCGCGAAAAGGGATCGGGTGACCTTGGGATCCAGCGACGGTCAGAAATAGGAGTCCGTTGCCAAGCGTCTGAATTTTGATCACGTGACCCTGGGGACACTGCAACGGTCATTCAGTGTGAAAAATGTTCCTAAATCCCTTTTCCCGGTGCTGTTCTAACTTCATACTGCACTGTTATAAGTCGGGGACTATCTCTGCTCCCTCTTTTGTGCTGACTAAGTGGGCTGAACTCCCTCGCCGTGTGTGGCATGACGTCTCCCCTTTGCAACACGGAAAAAACTAACCCGGCCATTTGATGGGGCCGATCCGTGCCTTGGCCATCGCTTACTGTTTGAGGTGTGTCCGTTCTGGGTTCATTTCCCCTGGAAAGAACCAATTGGTGTTCCTGTCCGGTCCGCTTATTGTTAGGAAGAAAGGCCGTCCCACCTCAAAACTGTCCCTGCCCCACTGCTCCGGACAGAGGGGTCCTTACTCCCCCGACGCAGGATGGGCACCTCTGCCCACGAAGGCACTCAACCACCTTCAGAGGAGTGGAGCGTGATCTTTGCCCACTGCCTGGACCCTGGGGGAGTTCCGGATCTGCCTGCTGGTCCCATAGCCCTTGTGACAGCCACGTAGGTGGTCTTCAGACTTTGAGGGTCTGTGAGAGACACAGGGTGAATATCATGGCCCCGTCAGAGCCCAGGTCTGAGGAGGAGGAGGAGATGGAGCCAGGGTCAGTGCACGGGGATGGTGCAATCTCTATGGCTCAGGAGAAACGACCTGAGGACGAGGCAGGCGCAGGTCCCTCAACCCTCGGAAGAGTAGGCACGGA